CCGGTGGTAATTAGTGCTGGTACAAGCTGTGGTACTTTGAAACGATGGTGGGTTGAACTGAAAGCTCGCCGAAGAGACCACTAAAGCCTGCTGGAGCCATCGGGGTTTGCTGCTAACAGCCGCTGTGGCTTTTTCCGGTAACATGTACCTGATTGTGTACCCACCCCCATGCGAGACAGGGTGTCACGCCTGGCCAATAACAGGTACTTGGCGTGTACTTTGCTGAGTTCATCGGCTCAGTCTCCAGAGTGAAGGAGGGAGGGGGATGGGGGAGGGAGTGACTGAGCAGAAGAGGAAGAAGGAACCCACCCTGGGTACGATCTCAAGGGCCAGCGGATGCTCTGACTGGCTGGAGCAACGACCGTGGCCGGGGGTCTGGTCACTCTGGCGGACGCCTGGTGCCTGTACTTCTTGTACCTCTGACCTTTTTGGCCGAAGCGACAGGGGTGGTCGGGGTGTGCGAAATCAACTAAGGGGACCATCGGTGTTGCTGTACCTTGCACAGAAACTCAGAAACCAAGGCGACCACTCCAGTCCAGTCGGTCAGTACCAGTATTTGTACCATGACGACTGAAGAGAGAGCATCATCTCAGGAAAGCAAGATACGGATAGAGTAAGCCAGACAAGATGAATAGAAAGTGACGATGTCTATGTAGAAGATGTAACCCCCAACCATTGAGTCTGTGCTGTGCTGCGTTGCGCTGTGCTGTTCAGTTCTACCTATTCTGTTCTGCGCAGTTGCCGCCGCCAAAGACATAGACGCTTGATGTCGGCCTTGCCCTGCTCCTGCTCTGGAGGGGAAACCCAGAATGGAAGACCGAGGTGAGGCCTGATGGAGTAAGACAGTCGACTGGGTAAGACGGTGCTTGGCGTCCTGCTTCGTATGAGATGTGATTGTGAGTTGGGTTGGATCAGTCAGGGCCAGTCACAGTCACGCAGCCGTGGTGCCACATGGGGGCAGAAGGACGCCAAAAGGGCGAAGACATTCGAACGGTGGCCGCGAGACAACACAGAAGCAAAAGCACCACTTGCGCGCGATAGTGTGAGGGCGAGGTGGGCAATACATACCTAGCCAGACTTCAAGTTACCCAAACCGACCCGCGCGTAATAAGGTAGCCTGTGACCTATCCATACACCGCACTGCGGTATGGAGAATTTGGAAAAGCATTGGGCATGGGCGAGGTTTACACGACAACTTCTGGCCGGGGGCCCAGCCCGGGAAAGCACCCGATAGCGGGCGGTCCCTCACCTCGTTCCATAATCCATTTAACCTTCACCGTATCCCTCTGAGCCTCTTTTTCCTGCCTCCTCCCTCTTTACGAATAGTCTATTGTCTATCCGTATCCCTAACTTTCCAATTACTAAGGTATTGCTTGTCTCCGAGTCACGGGGCCCGGGCCCGCCCACTTCCACTTTGACAGGATGACATTGACAACTTGAGCAAAGGACATGAAGAAACCGTAATAGATGAAAAGAAACTGTAAAACATATTCCAATCAGCCCAAATGCTGAGACGAACAGCCAGAAAAACTGCTGCACCCGACAGTACTGTGTAGGCAACCGGACCATCTTCTCGTCCGCATCGTGCCGGAAAAGGATGACTTAACTTTTGTCAGTGCTGTCACCGAGTAGGGAGGTGGTATCTCCATGGATATTTTTGGCCTCGACTTTTCCCTTTTGAATCCCATAGTTCGTTCCCCTGTCGCTCAGTGATTGGGCCCATCGACTCACTCACCTCTCCGTCTTGTTCCCACTCTTGCGAAAAGTTCCATCTTCCCAGTCTCTACCCCTTGTTCTTCGTCTCCCTCTTGTCTCCATGACTCCATAGCTTTCATTTTGCTGTTATGATAAGATTGATGAGAAGAGAACCAAGGGGCGCTCGCTGGTGGCTGCTCAACGGGAAACGGAAACGGGAGCAGGCAGCATGTGGCAAACCTCATCTGTGGTGGCTTGCCTTTGTCCCGTCGTTTCCAGCAGCCGGTGCCGTTCTTGTCTTGCTCGTCGATATCTTTGCTTCATGTTTCTCTTCTGGGGGAAAAGAAACAGCCATGCAGCCGTCCGCTTGTTCGGGACCAGACGTGGTTACCATATCTTGCCTTGAGTTATTCTCTGCAATCATAAGAGTCCGACGTATTGCTCCGGCTTCCAATTGTTTGAACGAAGGGCAATCCGTCCAAACTTGACACACGGCCGCGAACCTTAACAAGGACTGGATTGGCGGGCAATCAAGGGCAAAACCGCTTTGTCCGGTCCAGCCCAGTCCCAGTTCGAGCGTAGCTGGTGGATCTGCCACCCGAACGTGGCCTTCGCCGTCTCAACCGTAACATTGTTACAAGTTCACTCCCTCGACTTTCGGTTCGCCGCCGACCATTGCCCTTCCGCTGCTGCATCTGTCTGCAAGACATCTCATCCCGTTTGGAGAGACACAGATATACTTGCGTCCGCGAACAGGCAATGTTGGACGTTGCGACGAAGAAGTCCACACTGTCATGCTCATACATGACCCACGATGACAGGAAACTGGAACAACGAACAAGTGCCTTTGGTTTGGAGTGGTTTGTTCCCACGGTTGACAATGCCGTAAATTGTTTTTGTAGGGACGAAACCGATCCACTCCCGTGCTACCGTACGGCGCTATCCTTGGGGGAAAGATGGTCTCCTGTCTCGTCCTGTTGTGCTGCTGCTGCCCTGCAGTTCTTCCTTGCCTTGGTGGGCTGGGTATCCAGCCTGTACCTTGACTGGAGAACGCGGCCTGTCCTTACTTGACGGATACACAAGTTCCATGTTGCGACAATGGTGATGGTGAGCGCACTGGGCCAGGAACGGCTAGTGCACCCCCCTGCCGGGCCTTGAGCAGAGGCAAATGTCGCTCGCTTGATGGATTCTATTGGCAACGGATACTGGTCTCGACGTCCCGGGGAAGAAGCCGCCGGACGAGTTTGAAGTTTTGAGCACAGAATATGGATGCTTCTTGGGTACATAGTCACCGTGCTATTCCATGGCGGTCAGAGGTAGAATCAACCACAGGAGATGGGCGAGTCAGGAAGAGAACGCAGACTGGCACGAATGGGTCGAGAAGGCTTCTCTGCGTCTTGTTCTGCTTCGCTGGCATGGCAAGGTACAAAGTAAGGCGGGCTGAAAAGCCGTCCGCCAATGGTGCTGCCGCTGGCTGGCGTCGCCGGGCAGTATTCTCCTTGGTTTGACCTCTTGCGGCTGGAACGTGGCCGGCAGCTGGTGACCGATAGAATTGGTTGCGCGCAACGTCGAACGCGCTGCAACTGGTGTGTGTGCGGCGTGCCTGAGTGGGAACACCTCCCTTCTAGATGGAATGTGAAGACCGCCATGCCACCACCCACGCCATGTCCGCATCCGTTCAAATTGGCCGGCGCAATCGTCGCCGGATGAACGGTTCTTGAGGTTCAATGACCGCCGTCCTGTTCAACTTCAGCCAAGTTCATCCAGATTGACCTGAGCCGTCTTCGGTGTCATGGCGGAAAGCGAAGTCGTGTGGCAGTCGTTGAGATGCAGCGGCTAGACGTGATGAGGGGAAGACCATATGCTGCGTGTGTAATACTCCGTAGACCATCTTTCGTTGTCAGGTCGCCTCGCCATCCTTCAAATGGAGTCACGGACGGACGGCCGTACCTGACCTTCCCATGCTGCAGCTGGTGCGGGTCTCATGAGGGTCCCAATGGGTCCAGTAGCTTGCGCTGTCACTTGACTGTTTGCTGCAGTGTCCCGTCGTCAAGGGGTGTGACCAGTCTGCTTGGTGCTTCCATACAGAAAGTTACGCCTGGTGTTTGTATCTCTATGCCAGGCTCTTCTTGGAGACTCTGACATCACTCGGACACTTTTGAAGGCGCAAAAGAGGTACCTGTATCGGCGACGGGCTGATTGACTGGCAGACGGCGTCCAAATTCCGAAAAAGTTGAGTGGTGGGTTGATTGAAGGGAGACAAGAACGTACATCCTGGCTGGATGATTACTAGTGTTGGAGGAAACCAATGAGGAGTGAAGACGCGCGTGGGAAGGGACCGAAGTTGAGGACTGGTATCCGGGAAATAAGGCACCTACGGAACGACTTGAGGCGGACGATAGGATCAATGGAAGAGAGAGACGGAAGGAGGTTGTCGAATAGTTGGTTCCTGCCTTCATTCTCGGCGATGCACCTCCGTCTATGATTTATCCGTACCTTGGGTACCACCTGCTATGGCAGCACCAGTGAAGCAGCAGCGCCCAAGTGGATGGGTTGGCACATTGGGTGACGATGTGCTGGACTACAGGGGGCGCGGGAGAATCATACCTGCTACCTTAACTTTTGGTTGCAGCCACGAGGTCATGTACCGCTGCAGTATCTGTACCTGCCTGTGGGTATCCCCGAGTGGATCCCGTCTGGAAATATGCGTTGTTGCAAGTGCAAGTACGGAGGCGTCGGGAAGGTACATCGGGAACCCCAGTCGATCCTTCCACTCTTGAGTCTTGATGCGGTATTCGTACCTTCACTCGTACCTTCTTCTCGTATGAATATTTACCTACCTCAGGTACCTCAAGTACGGCGGGTGGTCGGTTGGCGTGCGGCGTGCCCATGTCTCGTTCCTCGACAACGCCTCCGAAGCCTCCAAAGCCTCCAAAGCCTTGAGACCAGCAGGTGTTTCCCCGGAATGAAGAAAAAGAAACAAGAACCCCAAATCGTCGACGGTGAACGACGCTACAGACGACTCCTCGCAAAGATCGAGAAAGAAAAAAGAACAAGCCAGAAAAACAAATACTATCCCGCCGTGCCCGCCCGAGATCCCTGTCGACCACTCACTCTGAGCTGCCCGCCATCGACTCTTGACGTCGTCTACAATTGCGAATCCTGTCATGGTTTCTTCATATCCTCCTGTACCTCTCAGAGAGCGATTACGGATACAATACTCCGTACAGAATACACAGCGAATATCGGACACAACTTTGTGGCTTCCCGGGTTCCTGCGGGATGGGAAGGCCAAATCGGATCCATCATCGGGCCCAGACTAACTCCGAAATAGTGTTTTCTTTAACCCCCAAAATGAGGGCACTCAAACGGCGTGGGATGGTTGGTGCGGGATGATGGATCATGCTTGCGTCCTCGGGTCCGCTGGCTTGTCCCGTCACGTCACTTCCCAGTTTCCACTTCTTCAAGGGCATGCCGCCGTCGTCGACTCTCCAAAATTGTGCCCATGATGGCGGGCCGGTATGCAAAGCTTCGCCAATTTGCAAGCTATCACGGGTCTGCGTACGCCCGTCCGAGGTCACACAGTAATTACAGCAATCACGATCACGATCACGGGTCAGGCCAGGAGCCAACAACGTCACGAGCCTGATTACGAGCTCGAGCCCCCAATGACACTCGCCATCGTATGGCCTCCTCAAGCAAGGCTCTCGACTGGCGTGGTTGCTTTTGTGGTCAGCTTCGTCGTACCTCGAGCATGGCGTAAGGCGAACCATGCTTGCGATTGGCACTGTCGATCGCTACGTACCGAATATGGGCAACACTCTCGCTGACAGGCTTCCTACACATGCAGATTGATTTGGATTTGATTTGCATTTTGTACTCCACGTCAGGGGAGGCGGCAGCTGGCAGCTGGAGATTCGGCTTGTGCCTGAATCTCAACTGCAAGTCTCGCTTGCCTGCCAGATAGAGCCGTTCTTTGCTTGTCTCGGTCGGTGCGTCTCATTGTCTCAACCTCGACTGAAACATGTCTTTGCCGTTTTCCCTGGCGACAGTCGTCAAGGTACGGATACTTCAGCAAAGGTTGGTAGCGCACCCGGGTGCATTTTGGTCTACCTGTGGATACATCTCACCTTGACTCGACAATGGCTAACGTACAGTAGGTAGGGCATGCAGCGTGGCAGCCTACTGACTCCCACGCCTGACGGATCCGAAGTCGCTGGTGTAGCGAACTCGATGCGCTAATATTCACTCCTTTCGGGTTGCGGAAGAACACAAGGCCACAGCACCTGCCATGCTCCTGTCCGGCCATGGAAGACGGACACCCAAACTTGCTTCATGCCAGATACGGATACCTCATGCATTGTTTCGGCGCCATCAACGAGGACCTACACACTCTGTTGTCTGTACCACCGAGTTCGATACTGGCGCTGGTATCCCGCAACTCTCCCACCGGAACATTACTCAGTCCAAGAGAACTTGGCCTGGTGCTGCCATTTTCGCGTTCGAGAAAGCCGGTCTGCGGTCACTACTCGTATTATCCCGACCACCAACCCTTTGCGCTCGAACAACTTTTGCAGAAAGCTGGGAGCCTCTCCTGCCTGACTTGTGAGCTAAGTATGATGCAGACGCCAGACACTGCGACAAGCTGCAAGGGCCCAGTACTCGTGGCTTCAAACAGCACGGACTCCTGGGCTTCAACCTGACAATGCCATACCTCAGCATAGTTCGCTCTGTGCCGCACAATCCAGCACAGAACGACGGCAACATCGACGATTACTGGTAACACAAGATACAGTGAATACAGTAAGGTAAGATCTCGTCAATCACCCTGCCCCCGACGTTCATGCCTCTGGTAGTCCATCTGCCAATCATCCATAGATCCCTTCAGCCCTGGGATGCGGCGCAGCTTGGGGGTCGTCTCTTTTGACCATTCACGCGTGCCAGAATGGAAAAAGGCTTGAGGTATACAAGTTCAAAAGACTATGTATCCGTATAGGTACATCTTGGCCATCGGATCATTTGCGCGAAGCTGACACTGCAGATATCCTTAACATCAAATGGCTGCCACCCCAAACCGGAAGTCACCACAAGCTAACTCAACAGCAACAACACCGAGCTGGACCTATCCGTTGAGTCTTCTCCGCGCGGGCGAGGAGGCTCGGCGCCTGCTTTCGAAAACCGACCCAAAAGCCCCATGGCCACCGCAGAAGACAACCCCACCTCTAAAAGCATGGGGCACCGTCAAAGTTCGGACGTTGATGGAGAAAGCAAGGGAGCATCCTGAAAACAGCATAAACGTCTAATTTCTGCTTCTGTCCAGTGGTTCATCATTGGATACCGACATTGCCTCCAATAGCGCTTTAATCTATCTGCAGCTAATACGTTTGAAGGCTTGGATTTCAGAATCGCCTTCAGCACTGGTGCCGTGGTCATCCATGTCCTGTGACGAGAAAACAGAAACATGCCGAGGCCGTTGACCAGTTATGGGCTCTTCTTGCTGAGAACATGGGTCAGCGTTTCCTTCATACAAACTCAACCAGCGTATTCAGTGCGAGAAAAGAGCAGAAATCCCCTACCGGCGGCAGAAAAGTGATAGGAAGCTGCACAGGAGTTCATTGAATGAGCGCCGCATGTGAATCGAACCCGACCATCCGTAAGCACGGGAAAGCCTCGAATCGGCCCACTGGCGGTCAGTGAAAGCCAGTCAGAGCAAGACGTGTTTCCCCCGAAACAAGGACAGGATCAGACGCCGCCCAAGCAATCCATCCCGGCAACGACTGCGAAAGCAACACTTCCCTTGAATTTTGCCAGGAATTGCCTAATGGTCGACCGCCGTACAGCACCATAACTGCCATGCCCAATATTACAGTGCAGTGCGGCGTCAGCTTACTGGATTCCACAAGATACTTGTAACCGCATAGTAATAGCTGCCATCCGTCTCTACCTTCGACAGCTGGGTGGGCCTGGAGGCACAAAAACGACCTGTATCTTATCTTCCCCATTTATCCGATGTGAGTGTCTGACACCTGGCGGATCATCTCAGCTCACGTGGGGAGAGGAAACCTCCAGCAACGGAGCTCGGATATCCAGGTCTATGTACTGGTCCCAATATGTATCTACCTCACAGTCTACAGTTGCTAGGTATACGGATGCCAAATATCAAGGGCGAGCTGCTAACATCGGAGGCCAGCATCGTACCAGTGGCGAGGACCTCATGGGTTCGAATTGCTTCAAAGCCTTCACTCGTCACCTTGTACCTCAGTGCTCCCAACCTGCTGTGCCCGACGCCGCGCCTGTGCTTCCTCCTCTTCTTCTTCTTCTTCTTCTTCTTCTTCTTCTTCTTCCTCAAGTGTGGGCCAGCCTTCTAGCTGCATCTCGTTCCAAGGACCGGACTGGCCCGGTGTACGGATACTCAGCGAGACGTTGCCGAGTAGAGATGGCGGATGGCGATTAAGCCGAATGGGTGTAGGTACACGCGCGATACATGCATCGTTCCCCGCCCGTTGCCCAACTTGGGCTCTAGATGCCGTAGCTAAGTCGATAGACCCGTGCGTTGCAGGGTCGATTACAGCCCTCGATTCCTCTTACTTCTCGTCGGCGATTGGGAAGAAACTCTCGAAACAATGCCTACAATCGATGTGGCGAAGCTGAAGAATAACAATGCAGGCATGCTAAGCGACGCAAATATTTCATCTTTAATAGAGTGAGTCCCATTCCAGCTGCTCGGGAGTTTGGAGTCAAGCCAGCCGGAGCGCAAAAAGAAGGAAAGAAAAAGTATGAGACATGCTAGACGTATGGGTAACACCAAATCGCCAAAAGGGTTATTCCATCCGCAGATGATGGGAATCTTATCCGTACCGTGCCTACCGTGCCTACAGGACGGCTACACACAGGAACCATTCACCAATATTGATAGATGTGGTGTGTGCTGAAAGGCTGACAGACACCAAGGCAGCCGAGAAACCTTCCAGCCGGCCCAGCTAGATAGATGAGTATCTATGGTTCGGACAAAGTAGGACCGGGTGCTGTCCTGTGCGTCGCGAACCTAAGACTCCAAAGTATCATTCAATAAGGTGGGGAGGAGAGGCGGATCAGCCAACTCGCAGCACTCCGGCCTGCTCCCGCTCCGTAGATCAGGGCCACTCACACGAGGACTGTAGGAGATGCTCGGCTCAACGCCTCAGACACACGATAAAGCTCTTCACGTCTTCACGAAGACCTGCGGGACCGAAATTCCTTTCGATACGAGAGAGACTCTCATTATGCCGACAAGCAATGTGGATTGCGCAGAAGACGATTGCCATGTCGTTACGGAGAAGGGTCGGGTTTTCTGCCAACCTTGTTATTTTTTGCTCGAATTGCCTTCCGCTCCAGTCCTCGACCGGGGCCCTGATCGTCCAGCAGATCGTCCCCTGCCACAGGACCCTGAATAGGATGGTGGTGGTCTGGCCTGACACTGGGTCTCGCATCTCGTCGATAGTACCGGTATGGTCGCTCCTTTCCCGCCAACCATGTTGTCGCGCAACGTCCCAAACCAGTTACCGGTTGCCGGAAATCCATGACCCAACCCCCCGAAGAATCTGCAGCGACACCAAAAGGCTTGGGCGAGTGGATGAATTGTTCAAGTTGCCCCGATGGCTTCATTCATCTATGTCGTTACCCCGCTTCTTCAAAGCACTCAATTCCTTCAATGGCTTTCGGCTCATGTACATCATGTACATTCACAGTAACGCCGGGACTATTCGAACGTGCGTATGGCGGGGGGAGGGAGCGGCGGTAAATCGCTCGCAACAAGATGCTTTCCCTTGCTGTCCCTCCCCCACCATGGCAACCGCTCTCAGATCAAGTCTGCCCACGCACCGGTCGTTCGCGCCTTGCGGCACGCCTGCATATCGGGAGGGCGCTGCGTGTTGGCCGAAATATCAGAGAGTTTCCGGAAGGTGATTTTGATTTTTCGAGGAAACCCCGCGGCAGACCTTCTCATACTGGTTCATTTCGGCGTGGGAGAGCTTAAAGGTATTGTCTAATTCTGTGGGATATTTGCCAAGTGGGAGCTGAGTCGTGTGTTGTCCCAGCGGGCTTCATCTTCCGGCGTACTGTTTCCCCTTCGTCCAGTTGTTTGCGGATTCATTTTCAGCTCTGAATAGTTCGCAACCTTCGGCGGCCACGAAAGGGGATACATGCGCACCTTTGCAGATCATTCTTTCCAGAAAACGTGGTCTGTCGCTACGCGCTTCGCTCTCCCTCTCTGCCTCTCTCCCCGCTGCACGCGTTCAACGGAACCCCGTTGCATTTCGTCTGCCCATCCCGCAGCCTGCTCGCTCGTCAATGTCGATCCGGCAGCAGCCAGCCACCGGCCGCCGAGAAATAAAGCGGGCTGTCCCCTCCGCTTTTGCCCCTCCCTGCCCTCCCTTTGGGTACCTCTTCGCCTTTTTTTTAACCCCCCCAGCGCAAGACTGTGCAGTGTTAGCGTATCCATCCGTAGAACAACAAGTTGTTAGTTCAGTCGACGTTAGCGTGTGATCTCTTGGGCTCTAGCGCACGTCTGTGTCTTGGCTCGGCGCGGGTGCCGCAGAGCGGAGGGGACTCCTTGGGGGAGGAGTCTGGAGTCTACTGAGTACCTGCTATCTAGACTCTGGAGGTACTTACCACTGTACCTTGGGTGGAGGAGGCGGGAGCTGGCCAGCCGCTTCTGGGTGTCAGGTGAGAGAGGGCCCGCTTCCTTGGGTCACGCCTGTCGATAATAGGTACGTACGAATACTAAGTCTTTGCTGACTATCCGTAGGTACCGGAGGGAGGTACCGGCCAGGAACCTGAACAGAAAGGTCCCCCAAATGCTTTGCTATTGCTGGGTGCCTGGCAGCGCCTCTTGCGAGGAAGTGCCACTTTGAGTGTTACCCCAAGGTTCCCAACTCAACCCGTTGTGGAGACTGACGGAACGAGCAGTGCCATCGGCCGGGCTGAACGTGCTGATGAAGGTCGGAATAACGGATGGCTAGACACCGCCTCGTTCAAGATGACTCTTTTCCCGGGCTGCGATACGAATGACTTTCTGAGAAGAATTCTGGTAGGATGCCACAGCTCATCATGGTGCCCATTTATCGTAAACTCATTCAGATCTGTGACTATGCCCAGGGATCAGTTCGCGTGAACTCGAATAACACGAGTGGATGAAAGGTGGGCACGGGAAGCCGACGTCGATCCCATTTCCCCTGAAGTTCTGTAACAAGAAGAGAGAGGGAGAGAGAGAGCAACTTCAGCAAAGTGGTTTCCCCCCCCTTTCCACTAGGTACTGTCCCGGCCGAGGAGGAGGAGTACCGGTAGGGGGTTTCCCAATGGTCACTGGTCACCCGGTGTGCTGGGTCACTTGTTACAAAAAACCCTTTTTCAATGGAGACTCTTTTTGGTCGATCCGTAATTCCACGGCAACGAAACCCAGCACCAAAACTTGAGACGAAAATTGAGCATGGGCCTCGGTTTTGTTTTATGTTCCGAGACGGGGACATTTAGTGAACATACTTGACGTGCCCTAGGTGGGCAGCTCGGTAATTTCCTCTTTTTGAGGAGTATAACATCTGCGCATCTAAGCTAGAGCCAGAGCCAGTGGCTTCCAGTGAATAGAGAAGAGTAGGTCGTAAGGCATTACTTTCCCTAAGATTCGGTTACATCCAGGAACCTAGTTTCGATCTGGGATCTCGGAGACTGAAAGGCAAGAGGCAAGACAAGACAAAAAGAGGGGTGGGATAGTCGTCCCGTGCGGATCGTGTATACGATATCCCAACTCTCCCAACCCCACAAGCTGTCGTCCTGTCGGCTTCTCACCCGGAGAGAGAGAGAGGGGAGAGAGAACGATATGGATACTGGCAGCTGTCTGTCTGACGGATGAGAAATCCCCATGGATGCGGCCTCGGGAGCTGCTGATTCGTCAGAAGAAGGCTCGTCTGAAACGGGGACTGTTGACCGCGGTTCCCTTCCCTTGCTGTAGGTTGAGAAAGAGAGAGAGAGAGTCTGGACCTGCGATGCCGACGATCCGGCTTTGGCGTGCCGAGGGGATGTGGTTGAATGGGTGGTGATTTGTCGCGCTGATGTGATGATGGACAACTGCTTGGGGATATGCTTGGTAAGGAGGTGGACGGTTGCTCTGGTTATTATTAAAGACATCCCGGCTACTCATGGTAGTAATATGTCTACGAGAGTCTTCTCATGGGTTATTCTAACGTCTAATGTCTTTTGAATGTCGGGATGGCTACCATGTGGTATTTTGTGAGAGAGTAGAGAAGCACATGGGATTCGTGTGCTGGAAGAGGGGCCTGTATGGACATAGACCGAAACCATCGTGCCTCTGTCATTATATCATTCTCGACCAAGGCCGAAAGGTCGTCATCATCTTATATGCAGCTTCATTGCATACACCACAATACGTATCGTTCTATCAAAGTCCCTCGAGAGCAATATAATTGGACAAGTTTAGTGACAACTAATAATTTCTCCCTAGTCCACTTCCGATTTCAACACTTGGTTACTGTTGCGTAGTTCACCGTGATCTTGAATTTGGAGGACAAACACGGCCATGTCATCCCGTGTTCCGTCGGTCACTACATCGCCATGTCATGTATCGTTAGGCGCGGGCGGAAACGAGTTCGAGGTACTTGCAATGGAGTGAGACTTGGATCTCGAGATAAACCTCTCACTTGATTAAGTACTGATCGTGAACAAACTCGGGGGACCCACGGGCTCCTCTACGATCGAATATCAAACATCTGAACGAGCTTCGGGCTTCTTTGATAGAGCGTGATAGGCCCAGGAGTGCCAAATGCCCGGCTGACGTGAACCAGTCTGCAAACCCTTCACCGATAGCGATTGCTATAAGCCACAAGCCGTGACGTTTGAACCATATTTGATTGACGAATGGGCTCCAACGCCGCCTAGCAGAATATCAAGGTAAAAGTCTACTCGCCCACTGCAGCATTTCGGCCTCCTGTTTTGATTGGCAGTTTGTCTCTCCCCCTTCAAGAAAGAAGCAATTCCCGCACACGCCTTTTCCGCAAGTTCATATTCCCATTATCCCATATCAGGCCGGTCTAGTCGCGGGCCCTCTCCCTATTTGAAGTTATGTCCTGTACATCGTATCTGCGACGCGTCGTCTTTGGGCGAGGTCCCAAGTCTTTGGACAGTAGTTTGTCGGTTTATTTTCGTTCTTCGGCTTGGTCGCTTCGTCGTCTATTGGGTCTTGAAGAGGAGGATCGCGCAGTGGCCGAGGTAGAAGTAGATGAAATGCTTAGTTTCTGCGGGCCATGTTAGTTCTATTGATGCCTCTTGTTTCCTTGCTGCCGAGAACAGGACACTGGCGGTTAGTGGACGTACCGTGGGTCACGAAGCTGCCAAAGTTGCGGCCAACAATGCAATGCCATGTAGGGCCCTTGCGCTCATCGAACTGATATTGACGGACGTATTAGCAACCATACATAGTCGAGGCGACAAAAGGGATTATAGTAGACTAACGGTTCGCTTGATGTGCTGGGCAATGTCCTGGAGATCGTGATTTGTCAGTAAACGGCCTTGTGCGCTATGTTCTCAGTGGAATAGGGACGCGTACCTTCTCAATAGTGAACTTGGCCATGGCTTCCTGAGCTGTGGAGGGGTCGTCAGAACACAGCGGGGTCCTGCGGAGGAGCTTTCCGAGGAATGACGTTACTTACCGACTTCAATGGACTCTTGCTGCATATCCTCGGTCTGAACACCGTTAATATCATGGTTTGAAGTTGATTGATCCGTCGGCTGTCCTCACCATGTCGGCGCTCTTGACCTGAGCTGTATTTCGGTTCCGTCAGCCTCGTCTTCATCCTTATTCCCGTCCTGGTCCCGCATCGGTAAACCATTGTGTTGTCGCAACGTACCTTCCAGCTTCTCGCGCGGAGCGGGCGAAGTGCTCTTAGCGTCGGCCATAGTGTGATATCGCGGTGCTGTAGAGGTCTCTAAGTTTTGCGTTCTCGTCGTCAGCCTCGGCCCGGCTAATTCGTTCGGTTTGCGCGGCACAACTCGCAAGCCCCTTTTCCGACTCGTCGTCCGTTGCTGCGCCTTCGTCTAGTTGCGAGAAACTCACTTGTGGGGAAACAGGTTCTAAAGAGAAAGTCAGTGATTTAGTACAGAGCGTGGAGGTTTCGACTTACATGAAAATCCTTAGACCGAGGAATTGGCTTGGTTTACGAGTTTCTTCAAAGAGTGTTTGTCGCGTGTTTGGAGCAAGTCTGGCAAAGTGCCCGCGACAGGGAAGGGTCCATTCGATCGAGTTGGGTTGTCATGGACGCACGGGCCATAGTCTTCCTTCCAGAGTGGAAACGGCTACGGCTGTAACCCACGCTAGCGTTGACAAGGCGGGGCGGCAGGTCACATGGTGATAGCGATAACGACGGGGCGGAAGAAAAAAAAAACTTCAAGGCAAGTCCCGTTTCCATCTTCATTATCACCAAAGCCTTCTCCCGTCTTCTCTCTGTCTACTACATGACAGTATGTCTCTGCTTTTATAGCCACCACAACCCCCCGAGCAGTTGAGCTCATAATCTTTCCTTCTTGCTATTGTCGAAGCCTTTTATTTGAATTTCTGAGATACCCCTTTACACAATGGCTGCTACCGCCGCCGACGCTACTCCCCTGGAGACGTCTCGCATCTTCGTGAGAGGTCTTCCTCCTAAAATCACCGACGCGGACTTCCGCCAGCACTTTTCGGCTGGAGGTCGTGAGGTCACAGATATCAAAGTCATTCCTCAAAGAAGAATCGGCTATGTTGGATTCAAGACTCCCGAGGTTGCTGCCAAGGCAGTCAAGTACTTCAACAAATCATACATCCGCATGTCAAGGATCAACGTTGAGCTTGCACGACCGGTATGTTAATACCATCACCATGTAAACAAACCTATGTCCATATGCTCATGTTACCTCTCCAGATTGCAGATCTTGCCCCTGCAAAGGCAAAGGGCGCTAACGGCCAGATGTCTGTGGCAACACCGTCAGCATCCGCGGCTCCTCCCCTTACCAGTGACGAGAAGGATGCAAAGAAGAAGC